TAAGATCCATATCCTTTTTTCAACCTTATCATGAATTGCATGCTTCAACCACATTGACTGTCCCATTTCCCTGAATAAGCTGTTTCCACCTACCTGTTTTACATACTCACACTTCTGCCCACTTAACCTCTCTCATTGTTTTAGGCTCCAGGTGTAGTCTCCTCTTCGAACCTTTCATTTCCCCCACAGGAGAAAATTGGCAACTTCTTTAGTGTTCTCACAGCACTACCTGGAGACCTCCTTTACAACACACAGTCACAATCTCCTTAGGAGCTCATCTGCTGCAAACTGGCTACCAGCCCCTTGAGAATAAGAAGCATGTCAAATGCATATATTATTTTTATTTCCAAGGGCTAGAAGTGACGCTAGCATAAAGTGTAAAAACAATAATTACTATAGAAAACATTTATTGGTCTTTGTCTGCCGCATAGTTCAAAGCAGGTTCCGTGCATTATCGCATTTAATCCTTAAAACAAACATTTGACGTGGGCTCTATCATCATCCCTCTTTTAAGACGGCAAATCGCAGCAGAATCCTTGCAAGACTAGGACCGCGGGAGACTACAAAGTAAATGGCTCCCCCTGGAGTTCGGCAGTGCATAAGCTGTGCACAATTAGCAAAGGCCTCTCGATGTTTTAGAATCAAATGTAAACGTTTAATTTAATATTAGGCTTTTACCAGATGAATTTGTAATTTTAAAAAGTATGTTTAGGGGTCTTGGATGCCTTAAACCGAAGAACATGTTAGAGGCAAGGAGGGTCATCTGCTTAGTGTCCTTTTAAACTTATTGTCTAAATAACCATTTATTCTGACAGAAAATTGTCACTAAATTGTTCTGATGACCGTATGGTCTAATAAAATGACAAAACTGAAAGAGACAATAGGACAGACTGTTTGCAGTCAAGTAAAAACAGTCCAGAAAACCTAAGAATGTCATCACCGTTACTCTGTTTTTCTACCCCCTCCCCCAACCCCCATCCCAAGCAAGCTGTAGGCGAAGCTATTCATTCACAAAAAGAATTAAACAGCAAAAATGTCGTTTTGCTATAGACATATGTAATGCTAACTGGCCATATGCAGCACTGCTAAAACACAATGAAATCTCATGTTTTAATTTTCCAAAAGTAATAGCATGTTAGAATTTAACAAATGGTAACCAACCAAAGCACATATTACATAAATTCATGACATTTATCTTAATTATATTTTGCCCGTGATCTCAGAACCAAAAGGGTATTAAAAGAATAATCCTGAAAGAAGTTATTAAATTCTGCCTTACTCTTTTTTAAGGGGCTTCAGGGAAATATGTGTTTTGTGTTGTGTGTAAATACTCTTAATATCACACCCTGATCTCATGTTAAGTGGTAAGAGGAAGTCAGTATAACAAGAGGTTTGAATGCAGAGGGTGGAAATAGGCCATGAAGAATTAGTAACTTAAAATGAGTTAATGTGAATTAGAGACGAATTTACTAAATAGAATTCAGTAAGAATCTCATATCCAAGGTCATATTCTAGCTTCACTGCTAAAGAACACATCATTTTAGCACAAATGCAGCACAGTTCATGAACAATTATCAACATGTAGTTGTATTGACCACAAATCACAATCACAAAGGATGACATTAGGTGCATCTAAGCAGATTATTAAAGAGTTGTGCTTTTCCTGACAGTGTTTACAGAGCCTATGGGTCTCTAAGATGCGCATCATTTCAAATATTTTTTAAGGAAATAGAATAATCCTGAACTTAGGGAGACACCTACAGGTACAGCAGAAAAAAAATAAAAGGAAGATCAGAGAAACAAAACAATAGCATTATGTTTATTCAGGAAAACCAAAATGATTTTTCTTTGAAAATATTTTTGAATGCTGAATTTTTCATAATGTTAGGCACAAATCTTTGCCTAATGACCTAAAGGATGGGTCATAATTCTTCAGAAATGGAGTCGGGATTTGCCTATTGGTAGAAATAACATTAATTGTTACCATCATCAACATCATTTTTACGGTGTCTACCAGATAGCAATAAGCATATTTACATATTCATCACTTTGATAAGTTTTTTCCCGCATTTAAAATAAAAATATACCTGGTAAAATAAACATCTTCTACGTTAGCGGTGTCTTAACATAAATGGTTTTACTACTTTTTTTTTTTTGTAAAGGAAAAATTTTGAGTAGTATGAAGTGGATAGGAATTTAAAGATGCTAGTGGAGGGCGGCAGAGACCCATGGCATAACCTTTTCTGTGGGTAGATAGACCTAGAGCTATTTAACAACCCCCTCAGCTCTCCCCTCCGTTGTATAAATCCCCCCTCCCTGAAATGGAAATCAGAGGAATAAATCATCCTGTTTCTTTGGTTTTGTTGCTTTAATTTTTCTACTTTCGAGCAGGTTTTGTTCGGAAAGGAAGCCTCTTCAAAGCTCTCCTCTACTTCCTATACTATGATAATATTTATATAACACTGATATTTCCATTAAGTTGCAGGGAAAGGATTTTGATGTCTTCATGGTACCCTAAACACATCATCCTAATATGCTTCCAAAGCCAGAAAAACTCTAGTATTGACAGAAGGATCACTGGAAAACAAATCCCATAATTTTACCCTTTCCCAATTTTGACATTATGCCAGTATATCCAGTCTCAAAATCACTGCCCATCAAAAACGGCCCACAAAAGAACAGCCAAAATAGGTGAGGGGATATAGGAGATTCTACACAGTGAATACCCAAGGATCAAGAGCCTTTTTTTTTTTTTTAAAGATACAAGACAGATTCTGTCAATTCAGTCTCCCAAAATAAGATATGATCCTCTCCATGTTTGTCATCTCTGAGCAGCACCAGGACAGGAAAGTTTAGATAAGAGAATTTCTCTAATACATTATTCTAACAGTCCTCTCATTGCCAGTCTTGCCCCATTAAAAGGCATGTTCCACACAGCTGTTGTGCTAAATATAAATCTTATCAGATTATTTCCATAGTGAAAACCCTTTTATGATTCTGTCCTTATCTTCAGGATGAAGTACAAATCCCTTAACTTGCCTCTATACATAACCTGGCTCCTGCCCACCTTCCCAGTTTTCTGCCTTCCCATTCATTCTTTTTCAACAATTGCAATAATACAGTAACAATATTAATAGCATTTATAAAATAAATACTACCTGTCAAGACTGTCCTAAATACTTTTATTGTGGTAAAATACCTGTAACATAAAATTTACCTTATTTACCATTTTTAAGTGTGCAGTTCTGCAGCTCTAAGTTCATTCATACTGCTGAACAACCATCACCACCATCCATCTCTGGAACTTTTCATCTTCCCCAACTCAAACGCTATAACCACTCAATTCCTTAATGTCCCATTCCCTTTCCCTAGGCCAAGGCAACCACTATTCTACTTTCTGTCTCTATGAATTTTACTATTCTAGGAATCTCATATAAATGAAATCATATTTGTCCTTTTGCGCCTGGCTGATTTCACTTAGCATATTGTCTTCAAGTTTTACCTATGTTGCTGCATGTGTCAGAATTTCCTTCTTTTTTAAGGCTGAATAGTATTCTAAGTATATACCACATTTTATTTATCCATTCATCTTTCAAAGGACACTTGGGTTGCTTCTCTCTTGGCTATTGTGAATAAAGCTGCTATGAACATGGGTGCACAAATATCTATGTGAGACCCCACTTTAGTTCTTTTGGATGTAAACCTAGGAGAATTACTGGGCCATTTGGTAACTGTTCAATTTTTTTGAGGAATCCTATCATTTTCCCCTGAAGCAGCAGCCCTGTACATTCCCACCAGCAATGTACAAGGGCTCTGTGATAATTTTAAGTCATAGGTACCTATGATAGGTAATCAACTTGACTGGCTACAGGGTGCCCTGATTGTGTATTATTTCCGGGTGTATCTGTTAGGGTGCTTCTGGATGAGATTAGCATTTGAATCAGTGGATTTAGTAAAGTAGATTGCTCACTCCAGTGTCTGTGAGCATCATCCTATCTGTTGAGAGTTTGAATGGAACAAAAGGCAGAGGAAAGAGGAATCCACCCCTTTTATCTCCTGCCTCACTAATTGATCTGGGGCATGTCATATCACCTTTTCCGGCCCTTAGACTGTGATTTACACTATGGGCTTTCTTGATTCTCAGGCCTGTATTCAGACTTGGACTGAGTTATACCACTAACTTTTCCAGGTATCATAGCCCTTCTACACTCCTAACTTATATCATCATTCTGGAGAAAGCCATATTAACAACCTAACACTTTCATTTTAGGGAATATTCATAAACACCCACTCTCCTGGATCTTGAGCCAAGCCCAGCAATAAGGAGGTCACATGCGCATGCCCAGGAAGAAAGTAAAGTCAGATTTGAAGAAATACTCTGCCATTTCTTCCTTATTCCAATGTTTAGGTCTGATTAAATATTCTTATTGAAGTGATTCCAGTAGAATTTGGTTGAAGATCACAACCATAATATATTTCTCTATACTCTTCATACTTTTTCCAAGATAGGTGTAATTATTTTGTTCATATATGGATTTTGTTTTCTGGTGCTCAAGTCAATATAATGCTAAACTGAAGAATTGGGACTAGTCAGATTTTTTTTAGGTAAAGTTTAATTTTTAAAATAGAAATAGTTTTATAAGAAATACTTCAAATAAATATGACTTTTTAAAATAATACCTTTGTCGGGCGCCTGGGTGGCTCAGTTGGTTAGGCGACTGCCTTCGGCTCAGGTCATGATCCTGGAGTCCCGGGATTGAGTCCCACATCGGGCTTCCTGCTCAACAGGGAGTCTGCTTCTCCCTCTGACCCTCCCCCCTCTCATGAGCTCTCTCTCTCTCAAATAAATAAATAAAATCTTTAAAAAAATAAAAAAATAAAATAAAATAATACCTTTGTCTAGAGTTTCTGATGAAGTATTAAACATGTAAAGTTTTTAAGGGTATATACGTTTTTTAAATTTTTAAAGACTGTACATATACAATTAGAGCATCACAAAATTCTTATAAGTCAGGTATTTTAATGTAAAGCTTTCAAGAAAGCACATATCAAGTGTTGAATTAAACTGAAGACATGGTTTTACTCTCTGATTGTCACTGAAAGACTATTTTAGAAAAAAGCTAACACAAAAACAGGATGTTACAGAGATTGCTGCTTCTTTTCCAAACACTTCTCAATATCATCAAGCACTTGAACGGCAGCCTTTGGAATTCGAGTCCCAGGACCAAATACATTGGAAACTCCAACTTCAAAAAGAAATTCATAATCCTGTTGAAAGAATTTGTTTAATTAATAGAAGAGGCAATATTTCTAATTTCAAGGAAATGAAACTAGGACAACAAACACTGTCCTTTATTCTTTGTCACCGATGCCCCCAGCTTTCTCAACTGGTATACCATTCGCATTTGGAGCTGAAAAGAATCCTTCCCGGGATTGCTAATAATAACCACTAGCACCCATTTTCCAAATACCCCAGTGTGTGATATGTGGTAAGAAGCAGTATGACCTACTGATCAAGAACTTCCAAGCCCAAAACCATACAATTTTCTCTCACCTAAATTATCACTACTTGTCATTATTTGTGTTGAATGTAGTATCACATTATAGGTTTGAGTTTACGAAGCTATTTACTTCCTCTAAGATATTTTGTCTGCAGTTAGTGAATGGTGATACTTTTTCTTTTCTTTTTTTTTAAAAGATTTTATTTATTTATTTGACAGAGAGAGACAGAGCGAGAGAGGGAACACAAGCAGGGGGAGTGGGAGAGGGAGAAGCAGGCTTCCCCCGGAGCAGGCAGCCCGATGCGGGACTCGATCCCAGGACCCTGGGATCATGACCTGAGCCAAAGGCAGATGCTTAACGACAGGCGCCCCTGAATGGTGATACTTTTGGGGGGTGTTTTGTTTTGTTACTTTTTTTTTATTCGAATATAGTTGACACACAGTGCTACAGGGTTTCAGTTGTACAACACAGTGATTCAAGTTTATACATTATGCTATGTGTACACATTGATGTTGACTGCTACAGTTATATTATGAAGGATACTCATATTAACACACATGTGTGCCATTACAGAAAATAATCTTTAGTCTTTAAACTCACAGGGAAAAAAGTATGGAAAACATCTACAGATGTTCTGAGTAATTCAAATATCCAGAGGGTTAATACAACTTCTGTGAAATATATTTCTTGAAGATGTCAGCTCACTTAGGTAACAGACCTGTATTTTTTGTCAACTCATATTCAATTCCAATATTTTGTGCAGCCTAATTATTTTGGTTCTTAAATTTTAACATCACATCTAAGAGCTTAGATATTATAGACTCTAAAACTGCAATACAGATAAAAGTTTCCATAGATAGACAATAAATAAATGCCCTTTATAGTCCCATATAGTAAACTATATTTGTGAAAATAGGCATGTACATTAACAAAAGCAGTTTTGTGTTGACTATATCACCTTAAGTACTGTGTTGTTAGAAAGAATAAATAATACATAGTTTGCCTGCTAGCCCCATATTACTATCAAACTCACAATTTCATACATATATTTTCTGATTTCATAAGTAGTATATAAGTCACTATTTTAATTTCTGAGCGGTATGGAGGAAAAAAATTGTAGGCCCAGACATAAGATCACACCTCACTGATTCCTGCTCTAGTGGAGGGGTCACTGTAGCATCTATCGATTATTTTCTTTGAGCAATATCATATACACTTCTTCTATTTTTTCCATTCTCAATATAAAAAGAAAACTTGATATAATTAAAAACTGGATTGGAAGTAGACCAAATTTATATCTTAACTAATTATTTTAACTGATAGTTAAGGTAATATGTGGAAGGTATCCCCCCACCCCATTAATAAATTAACTGACATCATTGATTGTTACCTAGCATTCATTTCTCCTTTTCTAAGATGATCCACATTTTTGTTCAAGAATCCACCTCTTCCCCAATCAGGGGAAATTCAAACTATTGAATTTTCAGGACAGGCTGATTCCATTTATTTCTGAATTAGGATATTTTTGGCTCTAAGAAAACTATACCCCAATCAAATCAGCTTTAATGAGGTTTTACAAAACCATGTAACTGATACAGTTCTGAGTTAGGACAACAGTCATGGATGGAAACACGGAAGGACTGAACAAGGTAGCACTTTTAAACAACAGAAGCAAGTGCTGACTGGTTAACCAAAGGACTCACTTCATTTACCACGACAAAGAGTGCTCACTGTCTGTGGCTAGGGGTTGATATATGCACTGTGTTTACCATTCTTCTCTATTTATTACTTTTACCCTGTTCCTTTTCCATCATTCTTTACTGAATATGAAGAAAGTAGATCTCTATCTAGGTTACTAGTCTGCAAAGAGGTAATTCCCTCATAGAAGCTTTGTAAAATGTTAAATTACACATAATGAATGACAATATAGCTTGAATAGGAAAGAATATTGCCCACTTTTTTAGTAAAATTTACTTAGTAAAATCGCTAGGAAATAATTTAGATCAATATCTACAGCAAATTTATCTTTAGTAAACGTATACAGTAAAGGGGAACTACATATAAACTAATATTACTCAGGATTCCCATCATAGTACTAGAAAAATACAGGAGATGAACAATACCTGTGGTGGTATCACCCCTCCACACATGACAAGAATATCTGGCCGTCCCAGGGAGTTGAGCTCTTTGATGAGCTCAGGAACCAGGGTTTTATGACCAGCAGCAAGTGTGCTCACACCCACAGCATGCACATCTGCATCCACGGCCTGCTGGGCCACTTCACGGGGAGTCTAAGCAATCAGAAAGTAAGAAACAAATCATTTATTCCAAAGAGTATTTTAAAACTGTTATCTACTTGATTGACATTCCAAGGTTTTCCTCATTAAAAATCTTGAAGTGAATATAACTTCATATTTCATCATTCTTAAATCATAAATACCAACTCATCCAATTGATAAAATAAACACTAGTGCTTCATTTGCTTCTAGCCCTAGAATTTATCAATTAGATTTAAGTTACACCAAAATATAGTTCCCCAAAAAAACTTTTAGGATAAGGAATACAGGCAAAATATATTATCTCCTCACATTACAATTTTTGAAAAATACATCTGTTGTCTTATCAACATTTACTGAGTGGTTGAGAAGTATAAGACAACATGTTATAGTATCTATGAAGAAGTAAAAGACAAAATAAAATTCGATGTGAAAAGTGAATCTTAGGTTTTAAAACAGAATGGGAAAGAGCGACATTAGCAAGATGGCACACTAGGAAGCTGAGGACCTTGGTCTCCCATGAAGACACTGAATTGACAACAACACATCAATCAAAATAACATGAGAACTCTAGAAACTAGTTAAGGGGCTACAGCACCCTGGCAAATACATAAACAAGAGAAGGAATGGTGTCAAGAAGGCTGTTCTTCATTATTAACTGGATTTAACCAGTATGCTATACAGAATCATAAAGGATATTTTCAAGTATTCAGTTATGAACTGAGTTACCCAGGATCATATTCATTCTCTGCAATGACTCTGTGACATTTGCTTTGATAATTTGCATGTATTTAAATAACTTCATATAAAAGATACCTACAAGTTTCCCATTGTAAATATAGTGTAAATTGAGAAATTTGGGGAGGATAAAGTTATCTCAGAAACCACTGAACAATTATAAGCTGAAAAAAATTATTAAAATCTGAAGATTTCCTTAATTTGCAGTATTTTAAGGCTCATAATTTCAGTGTGAAAACAAAAGATCCTACGCTCTCAGTAATGAAGCCACATTCAAGAAGATCTCTAAGTAAATCAAACAGCATATTGGTAAAACCTTCAGTCTGTGAAAAATATAACCTATGAAATTAAAACCTTTAAGAAAATGTGCATATTCTTGGTATTAATGCATTAAGAAATTTAATTGACTTATGCATGATTGATCATTCATATCATCCATGTTACCAAAATTTATTAGATTAAAATTCCATTTAAACAAGTCAGTTCTGTGCTTTATGCTTATATACATTAAACTGTATTTTATGTTACCAAATATTGAACATTTTAAAACTTCAAATCTAATTTTACTTAAATCAGACACAGAACTGCAGGAAAGTACCTTCATCCATAGATAAGTGTTTCTTTTCTTTTTTTTAATGACAAAGTATTATGTTAACAAAGTTGGTGGTACTAAATGGCAAATTATATTTTTATAGATAGCATGTAATGGGGAAATGAACTTGCAGCTCTTTGAAAAATTCTTGTAAGTGCCAATGGATGACAACCATTGTTTTTAATTACTTTTATTTTATAAGAAATATTTCCCAAAAGCTAATTACTAAATATCAGGAATGTATTATATTTGGTCATTATTTAAAACAGACAAAGGGGCACCTGGGTGGCTCAGTCGGTTAAGCACTGGACTCTTGATTTCAGCTCAGGTCATGATATCAGGGTCCTGGGGATCAAGCCCCACATGGGGCTCCCCGCTGAGCAGGAAATCTGCTTGTCTCCCTCTCTCTCTGTCCCTCCCTTCTCTCTCTCTCTCCCCCCCTCTCTAAAACAAACAAAAAGTAAAGTAAAAGGGTAGTAGAATGTGAGTAAAAAACTAGAATGGGAAAGTATTCAACTCAATGGAAGAATGAAAGCAATCTAAATATATATCTTTATTTAATCTAAAATATATCTGAGGTTCTTAACAAAACCTAGCTTAAATGTATTTATGAATTTGCCTACCAACACAGTTCAAAGATGTTATCTCCACAAGTTCAGGCTAACTCTTCATAATAAAAACTTCTTCTAGATTCTCTACAGTAATATTTAAAAATTCACTGTTGAACACTACATCAAAAACTAATGATGTACTATATGTTGGCTAAATGAACATAATAAAAAAATTAATTAATTAAAATAAAAATTCAAAAAGGGAAAAGTCTTACAGATTCCACAGGGGATGGGCCTCTTCAGGAAGGTTTACTTCTGTGCTGGTAAAAATGCAACAAATACTCTTAAGTCTTCATCTTAGTTGACCCATCCACAGTGTGGAATAACAGTACTTCCTTTTCCCTGAAACTCTCCTTCTTCCTCAGTTTTTATCTCACTTCTCACCCCATTCCCTCCTTTGCTGCCTCCTTCTCTTTTTCTTTTAATGTTCAAGTTCTCATCTTGCGATATACATTCTTGATGGGAAGTTAAATCAGTTTTCACAGTTTTAAGTAATGGAGGCCTCTCTTCTATGCTCCAGACATGCATATCCAACTTACATGGTCATCTTCATCTGAATGTTCCGTAAGCTGGTTCTCTTAAGCCTACCTCCTTATCATAAATAGTCCCTTCTTTAAATTTTCTTCTCAATCTTAGCCGACTTCTGCTAAGACCCTGACACTGCCGTGGGTAAGGCCTGCCTTGTTTCTCACTCAGATTACTGAACATCTTAACTGGATTCCTTGCATCCAGTTCCAGCTCCTCTCAATCCACTTCAGAAAGTGATTTTCCTGGAAAGTGAGCTTTCTAAAGTATATATTTGATAGTCACTCTGCCTAAACACCTTTGGGATAATGTTCATACTTCTTAGAATGGCACATATAAGGCCATTCATCACAATCTACATACCGTCCCAAGTTCTGTATTCTAATCATACTGAACTTCTTAGTCACCGGAAGGCATCATGCCTTCATGACGCTGTACATCTGCACCTCTGCTCAAGCCAGCTCTTCTTAGCATGCCCTTCCCTGCTTGCTCTCTAGGCTTCCAAAAGGCACAGTTCAACCGCAAGTTCCTAGAATACTTGGACAAGTTCCTTGTTCAAACTTTAACTACATTAACTATTACTCTGCTGTGATTACTGGTAAGTAAATCTCTTTCTGTTTAGGAGTCTGTAATCTCCCTGAAGACAAAACTGTATCTTATTCAACTCAGAACCTAGCATTTGGTAGATGATCAATAAGTATATAGTGGATAAAGCTTGTAATATGAAAGTTATTACAATGTACTCAACCAAATATATTTTGTAGAGAATGACTGTTGTATCACTCTATAGAGAATTTCACTTTCATTTACTTCCAACAAATTATTAGCCTGCTGGATCAAATATTCTGTGATTAAATAAAATACTACTAGAGAATAACAAGAAGAGGATATCTAATTATGATATTCTCTCACTCTGATGCCTGATTTCCCCTTCAAAACACTTTCCACCAATCCAACGTGGGCTATCTTTCCAACAAATTATTAGTCAAATCTCAATAAATGATATAAAAAGATCATTGAAAGTAACCTTCAGTTTCAGATGCCTAATAACAATTTTAGTTACTGATTTTTACAAAATCTGAGAAACAAGCACATTAACATAAATTACACTACTTTCCTATTTCTGTCATAATTAACTGGATTTATATGCATTCAAAAATAAATTGGGGAATTTGTTGAATTCATTTTCTTCTTTTACAACTTGAAAGACATTATCATGGTTTATCATCTTATCATTATTCGTTCAAAATATAAGTAATTTATGACATTCTTTTGAAATTCCCCCCAAAATTATCAGTACCTGAAAAAGAGGACCTATGTCCACATCAAAACCAAGGTCAGCAAATCCTGTAGCGATAACTTTTGCTCCTCTGTCATGTCCATCTTGTCCCATTTTTGCCACAAGAAGACGAGGTCTGCGACCTTCACGTTCCATGAATTTATTAACCCTAAGAACATTTCAAAACACAGCAGTTGTTAAAAAGTAATAATAAGGGCGCCTGGGTGGCTCAGTTGGTTAAGCGACTGCCTTCGGCTCAGGTCATGATCCTGGAGTCCCTGGATCGAGTCCCGCATCGAGCTCCCTGCTCAGCAGGGAGTCTGCTTCTCCCTCTGACCCTCCCCCCTCTCATGTGCTCTCTCTCATTCTCTCTCAATAAATAAATAAAATCTTTAAAAAAAAAAAAGTAATAATAAAATACAATTTCTATATTAATTGTCCAAAGGTAAGACATAAAAACTGTAATTTATTCACAGCAAATCTTTCAAGTTTATTTAAAAACACCTCTTTACATCTGTTTACTCACATTTTGTGAATATCTCTAACTTAAACTGAGAATTCCATTAAAGCCTGGATATGCTTACCACCTTCCACTTAGAGGAAAGTCTGAAAGATGGCACAGCCAATAAGCCCATAACACTTGAGAATACCACAGTGAAGCAAGATGAGGAAATGACAACTTTTCACCTTTGTAAGCCAGTCTCCAGAGTATAATATGCACAAATATTTAAATATAAATTAAAAGGTGCCTTTCAGAGTTATTTATACAAATGTGACTCACTAGTTGCTTTGAACTGTCTGTATCTCACCTACTCATCACAAATGTGAACTCCTCCAAGCTGACTGCGATGTGGTGTCTTCTAATGACATATAATCAAAATATCTGCCAGCTTAAATCAATAAATTTACACCCCACATTAAAAAGTACTACACTTGTTTTTGTTAAAAGAAAAAAAAAGTTCCATTTTGATGACTTTCAACTTGGATGTTTTGATATTTATCTCATATATAACTAGTGACACAAAAAGAGGGAAATTTATTACAAAGGTTGAGAAAAAAAATCATCAGGAAGCTACATTTACACCTGGGAAGTATGATCAATTTATATTAATTTATATTTCCTAATCATGCTTGACAGTGCTATTTATTGTCAGTTCGGAGAGCCTGATTTTAATTTATGCATAGATGGCAACCAAATACTTATTTTCAAACAGGAAATTATTTTATAATTATTTGAGCAATTAAACAATTTGAATAAACTTAGGAAAATATGAAAGTATACTGTAGTAAGGAGACTGAAATATAACTACCTATGGGATATGAAGCAATATCAATGTTAGTTAAAAAAACATTTGTTTTAAATGAGAAACTCCTAAAGGGAACTACGGTGAAAATTCAAAGTATTATATTAGTAAAACTACAGACTAACAGGAAAGTCAATTCAAATATTTTCCAAATGGTATGTGAGAAAATTAAGCCCGCAGTTGATTCACGGGGATTATGTTAACAGAAAAGACATTCTGGTGAAAGAAATCTCACATATTACCTCTTGATAGCATATGATATCTCTTTACTTTCTCCAAATTCCTGGCGATAGGCTCCACTCACCATACGATCATTAGCTTTATGTTCACCAAACACCTTTTTCATAGCATCTGTGATTTCTCCAACTGTACATCTAAAATATTAAAATAATAAAATAGAGGTTCTACTAACATCATTTGAGATAAAAATATTTACTGACTTTAATATTCAATATAATTAGACATACTTTATTACCTAAGTAAGAACTATGCCATCAAAAATCTTATGGTATTGGGGGCACCTGGGTGGCTCAGTCGTTAAGTGTCTGCCTTCGGCTCAGGTCATGATCCTGGGGTCCTGGGATTGAGCCCCACATCAGGCTCCCTTCTTGGCGGGAAGCTGCTTCTCCCTCTCCCTCACTTGTGTTCCCTCTCTCCCTGTGTCTCTCTCTGTCAAATAAATAAATAAAATCTTAAAAAAAAAAAAAATCTTATAGTATTTGTCTTTCTCTGACTGACTTATTTCGCTTAAATAAGAATTTTTTTTACTGCATTGATAAAAGCATCTTTCCTCAGAATACTTATGAAAAATGATTCTGGATGCCTTTATACATAGTAAACTTTTTAACATTTGTTAACTAAAAAATAACTGAATGACTTAAAAACTATAAGTAGATAAGCATGTGAAGGTTACTGAGTAATTCACCACTTAACAATACAAATAGGCAAAGAGAGCAAGATTCCCACTGATACTTTTTTTTTTTGAGAGAGAGAAAGAATCTTAAGCAGGCTCCACATCCAGCGTGGAGCCCAAAGCAGGGCCTGATCTCACAGCCCTGAGATCATGACCTGAACTGGAATTAAGAGTTAGACACTGGGGCGCCTGGGTGGCTCAGCTGGTTGGGCGACTGCCTTCGGCTCAGGTCATGATCCTGGAGTCCCGGGATCGAGTCCCGCATCGGGCTCCCTGCTCAGCGGGGAGTCTGCTTCTCCCTCTGACCCTCTTCCCTCTCATGCTCTCTGTCTCAAATAAATGGATAAAATCTTTAAAAAAAAAAAAAAAAAAAAGAGTTAGACACTTAACTGCCCGACCCACCCAGGGGCCCCTCCTGCTGATACATTTTGATAGAAAGTAAGTCTTTTAGCATATTCCATCCGTTTGTTCACTAATTCATTCAACAATTAATGAATTAATAAGAATTTCATATGATAATAAGCACTACGAACACACTGAAACAGGTGAAATGGGGTCTCTGGGAAAGCTATTCAAAGATATTGAAGATATGAAGATATAACTTTTGAACTAAGACCTAAATGATGAGAAGGAGAAACTCAAGGGAACGTAAGGGGGAAAACTGTCTGAAAAAGAAAGTACTAAATGCAAAAGTTTGAGAGGTAGAAAAACATGCTCTTTGTTCTACAACTAGGAAGGACACTGGGGACGCAGCATTTGAAGGAAGCAGAGTCATCTCACACAATCTTGCAGGCCATGCTAAGATTAGGTTTTAATTTAGAAGGCATGGGAGACCATTAGAGGACTGTAAGCAGAGAAGTTTTCTTATTTTTAAGAAATTAAAACTGGAAAAAAAAACCCAAAAAACAAAAACCCAACCCACATACTATTTACTCTACCCCTTAAGCACTTAAAACAACATGTTTTAAAAAAAGTTAATTATATTAAGCAATAAATAACAAAAGCAAAAATAATTCATTTAGTGACATCATGTATTGGGAGAAAATTTTCTGTGGTTTACAGGATCTGTTTGTTGATTTTTTAATATACCTTTAATAGCTCCACATGCTTACAGAATAGTTCCACATGCTTACAGGACAGTGGACCCTAGAGTATCATGAATAAAGCTCTATCTGCTCAAACCCTGGTGATATCCAACTACTGTACATGAATAAAATGTCTTCGGGAAAGCCACTGTTTGGCTAGCTGGCCACCCAGCTCCACTGTGTCCTGCACTGCACTCTGGCACATGGGTTCCTGGGGTGCTCAGCATGCTACCTTTCATCCAGTGAAGGAAAGGGAAAAGCTTAAGTATGTTTCCTGCTCAGAAAGGTTTCATGATGCCCTTGGTTAAGAACATACGTGAGTTCATTTATAATTCATTACCATCTAGCTGCTAGCTGCTAGCTGCTAAAATGACCAACCTCTGGCTTTTCTCTGGAGATGGGAAATGAGTACATGTACCTGAACAGTTCTCACTACCTTATTTTGCCAGTAACTGAATTTGACAAAAACAATCACTTTTGCCCTGTTTTGTTCATCTATTTGTAGAAATGTTTAGGTCTACATTAGCTAGTTACTAATGACCTGAAGGTATTTTCCCTCATAAGATGGACTTTCTCAAATCCTGAGGACTTCATGTTTGGTATATTTTAAATGTTAATGTTTCATTTTTAAATTTTATTTAAGAAGATTAAAGCCTCTTAATATTTATATGTTTAAAAAACCATGAATGCTGTAAGTGCACAGATATTTAAGAAAAATAAATAACTTCATTTGAGTTTCCAATATTTTTGTTTCAGCTCACATGGTTTATATGATCAACCTTTTATTTAAGTACACGTTGAAAAGCTAAACTGGTCAACTTCTGGTATTTGGAAATCTCCAAACTTAAATACCCTCACCTTGCACGAGCTGCATCCACTGCAAGAGCCAGAATATTCCCATCTCCACTGGCAGCACATTCAGTAAGTGCAGCTAGACACCGTTCAGCCAAATCTTGATCCCTGCTGCATTTGACCTTATGAAAAAGGTCAAGAAAAGGGACAATTTACATGAATAGAGAATAAAACAGAGATCAGGAAATCAGACACTGATATACATCACACAGAAATTGTTCCATAATCCTAAACTCAAAAACAAAAGGAAAAAAAAAGGAGAGAATAATATGTATCCTAGGTCTGATACTCATTCAATTTATTCATTCACTCATTCAACAAACATTTAAGGACTTCCTAAAATAATACTGAATTCTGCATAATCCTGATAAATCAGAAACAAGCAAGGTTAACAATAAATAATAGTGGTGACTCTCCCAAGTAGCTACTTAGGCTTTACTAATTTAACAAGACATCGAAAACAGGTAGATGTTTTACATGCGTAATTTCAAAGGCACACTAAAGAGTAATAGTGACAAGGATGAAAAAATAGTAGTAATAGATTACAACTTCAAGAATAGTTCAGTTATATGTTGTTTTCCTTAGCTAATTAACAATATATTGGTAATAATATGTATGTGTATGATTTTTCTTTAGTTAAAAATAATCCAAAGAGGGGCGCCTGCCTGGGTGGCTCAGTCAGTTAAGCGTCGGACTCTTGATCTCAGCTCAGGTCTTAATCTCTGGGTTGTGAGTTTAAGCCCTGTGTTGGGCTTAAAAAATAAAAATAAAAATAATCCAAAAAGAGAGAAAAGAGATAATGAGAAATACTTCAACAGAGACAAAAAGACAATGAAAAGCATGGTCAAAAACTTTTCCCCTCAGGTCCTAGCTCTACTCTGCTCTGCCAACAACCTGCCTAAACAAAGTTATCTAAAATCCAATTTTTTACAAGTTTACACCACCTATAAAAAAGTCTAAAATATGATACTGCTTAAGATGCTACTAATATATAATACCTATAAGCAGAAGTGGACCAGAAATCCTATACTAAGGGCAAGGAAAAACCCAATTCCATCATCACGAGTGAATTTCTCTCTTGCCTGAAATAAAGTTTAACATCACTTATGGCAAATGGAACCCCTCAAGCTGTAAGGGTGCAGAGTTAATAAAAGCCTAAAGTATAAGAGAGAAGAAAAGTTTTCCAAATATAATAAATGTTGAGACTTTTGTGATGACTGAAAATAAAATGCTACATCCTAAATAGTACCTTTTTAAAAAATGACAAAAATGTGAGAGAGGAGTCATTATCTCCTGATTGAGGGTGAAAAAAGAAATGTCATTAAACGTCTGCCATTTAAAAAAATGGAAGAGCGGGGCGCCTGGGTGGC